GTCAACAAACAGGTTTGTTTCTTCCTCAGCTTCTCCATCCCCAGAAGAAGCATCTGCTACGTCAACAAACAGGTTAGTTTCTCCCTCAGCCTCTACATCTCCAGAAGAAACCACTGCCACATCAACCGGGGAAGCTGCACGCAGAGAAGGAAAACAACAACTAAGATTAACAAATCAAAGAGAATATCTATATCCAAGAATTGTTTAGTCCTTGGTTGTTTTCTTGCAGACGTTTCATTATCTGACTAGGTAAAATCATTGGTACTGGAAGGATTTGCTCTGTTTATACAAGTAGTCCTTGATTTACAACCATAATTGAGTCTGGAATTATGGTGGTAAATTGTGGTAGTTGTTAAGCAGGTTACTTCTTGTGACCCTCCTGATTTTACAACTTTTTTTTGTGGCAGCTCTTAAGCAAACACCACAGTCATATTGCAAATGCCTCAGTCATGAAACGAATACATTTTACTCAATGGGCACTTTTTTTGCCAGAAACCAGGAGTAAATGCTGGAAACCAGCAAAAAACCCACCAAAAATCACCATAAATGTGAACTGGTTGCCAAGTACCCAAAATATGGTCCGTGTGACCACAGGAAAGGCACAGCCATCGGAACTCCAGAACCAAATTGGAAGTAGCTCTGAAGAGGTCCATCGTAACTTCAATTGCTAAGTGACTGATTGTTAAGCGAGGACTACCTGTATAGGGCAGCTTCCCCTGCCACTGTTGGTGGGGATGTATGGTTTTCTCCTAATTGAGGAAGTACAAAGGCCAAAAACCCTCCACCTTCCAACACTGCAAGGCATGTTACTGTATATAAACAGAGAGCGAACCCCACTCCCTTCTAGCACTGATGATGTACCCTAGCTGGGTCATGAAATGTCTGCAAGAAAACAAGCTCAGAGAGCACCAAGCATCCTACCATCCTCCTCCTCCTCCCATAGCCTCCTCCCTTCTAGAACTGATGATGTTATCTAGTTGGGTCACGAAATGACTGCAAGAAACAAGCTTGGACAGCACCAAGGACACAACGGATTTTAAAAATATATTATAGCATCAGGTTCTGTGATTGTCCATTCCATCAGAAGCACAGGATATTCTCCTGAACAATGGGCATTTATTTTTATTATGCCTTCTGTCTTTCAATGCATNCAGGAGAACCCTACATATAATCCTCCTTTACTCAGCTGGAACCATCATTGCGACTGATGCCTCACTGAACGACCAACCCCCACCTTTTCTCAATGCAAAAAAAAACAAACATTCCCAGGGCAGAAGGCTAAGGTGGGAAGAGACTTTGGAAGTGTTCTAGTCCGGTCCCACCCTTTGAAGAAATGCGAGGACAAACCCTTTCCTTTAAAAACTTGAAACCCTCCCCCACAAAAAGGGGTGAGGGGGCAGAGGAGCGGGGGTGGGGGGAGTCTAGATTCGGATGTGAAGGTGAGGACCTGCAAAGTCAGGCAAGAAAAAAATCCCCAGCCAAAAATGGAGATTTCCGGGAGAGGCCACGCCGCCAGGAGCAATAGGGCAAGAAGCACCCAGTGAATTCCGCGCAAAAAGGCACCAGGGACTCCTCGAGGTGTTCTAGAAGAGTCCCCTCCCAGAGGTTTTGAGGGCGGGGGTCTTGCAGGGGGAACCACCACCCCAGTACTAGAGGGGATAACCTTCGTTACCGAACGGCGATCTCAGAAGACCCCTCCCCCCACCCTGCCCGCGAGGATTCTGGGAAGGCATTCGGAGGGCGCCCAGTTGCCGATGAGCGGTTGGCTCCCGAGCCAGACACCCCACTCCCACAGGACTAGCGACCCTCGGTTCTCCACCCGCGCCCCGTTTTGCGCTACCTGCCCCTCCCCCGCCCGGACGTTCCCGTGGGGCCGCCTTTGTCTCGGCTGCCGCAACGCCGCGCAATCGGAAGGCTGGCCGCGTCGCGCGCATGCGCCGGGTCAGACCAGCGGAGGCGAGACGGCGCGCGGCGGAAGAGTGTCTCTTATTGAGAGCTCGGACCAGCGCCGCCCTAGCCGTCAGGAGGAAGATCGCCTCGGACCTGAAGCGCCGATTCCAGTTAGTCCTAGATTTACGACCAAAAATGTGCGTTATTAAGTGAGACAGAGGTTCATTCCGTGAGTTTTGTCCCATTTTACAAGCTTCCTTGCCAAGCGTCTCGAATGTCGGTCCCACAGCCACTGAGCTCCTTATGAAGCCCATAAATGTAAAATATGGTCATAAGTCCCTTCCCCCCCCCTGCTGCTGTGACTTCAAACAGTCGCTAAACGAACCATTGTAAATCGAGGACTACCTGTATGTGCATCCGGACGTCTCACACACGAAATTGCACGCACATCTTGGCGCACCCCTCCTTTGCACAGGGCAGCTGCGTCAGGATGGCAAGAATGTACTGTTAAGGAAAGTCTGAAATTCCTCTGTCACCTGGCTTCCTCCTAACCCCTCAAGCCAACATGGTTTGTGCAAGCCATGATTACTCTTTTTTAGGTGGCTGTGATATTCTCCTTTAAGGCTCCAGGATGATCTGCCCTACCACCAGGATAAGAACCTTCTGGTTCCCTTAGGCACTCAAACCGGAAGCTGTCAAACTACTCCCCTTTAAGATGGGTAGACTTCAACCCCCAGAATTGAAGGCCACCCGTTTTAAAGGGGAGGCACTTGAGAGAGGCTGTATGGGGAGCTTCGCCCCACAGAAAAGTAAATTCCGCTCCCCTCTTTCCTTCCTCCCACCGACTCCCTTTCAGCCACCAAACATCTAATCTACTTTCCCCAAATCCAGTTCTCGACATGACGGCAACCGAACCCTGTTTCCATTGCTAAACAAGGCTTTTAGGGGAGTTACGTCCCATCTTACCATCACTAAAACTAATCACCGGGGTTGTTAAACTACTAAATGGGTCGTTAAGTGAATCTGGATTCCCCACTGACTTTGCTTGACAGGGCACATGATCTCGGGGACGCTGCAACTGCCATAAATGAGTCGGTTGCCAAGCGTCTGAGTTTTGATCATGTGATCCTGGGGATGTTGCAGTGGTCATTGGTGTGAATGCCATACATTGCTTTTTTCAGTGCTGTTCTAACTTCGGTCACTAAACAAATGATTATTGAGGATGTACCTGTATTAATCATAATTACTGACTGGCCAGCCTTTAGATGCTCTTATCCCTAAATATTGTTTAATAGGTGGCCTTGTTTGATTATTTATTAAGTTTTAATCTGGCACTTATAAACCTGTCAGCCTATTCACCAACCTCTAACCGTCGGTCTCGATTGAATTAGCATCCAGCAGGATTGTCAGCAACTTTTGCCGGCTTGTAGTATCACACTGGTGTGAGCAGCAAAGAATGTGCCAGAACCATAGATTTGTTTACAAGTTAACACAATTAAGGGTGTTGTGAAAACATAATCGCCTGGGTTCACACAATTCCATACGCCAGTTGCTTTTGATCCGATGTAATATCGGCCTGGCTGAAAACCATTTCCTGTGTTTTTACAACTTTCAACGTCTACTATCAAAAGAAACAAATAATTTGTAGCTCAAATTTAAACTGTAAGGTCCTTGGTACCAACAGACATTTCATGACCCAACTAGGCAACTTCATCAGGGCTGTAGGTAGTGGGGTTTGTGGAAGAGGAAGAAGGCTGGGTGGGCCTTACTACTCTCTGGCTTGGTTGTTTGTAGATGTTTCATTACCGAACTAGGGAACATCATCAGTGTTACAAGGGAGTGAGATTTGTGGGAAGAAAGAGGGGTACGAGGAGGGGGAGAATTGAGAGGGAGGGGCTTGGTACTCATTGAGATTGATTTTCTTGCAGATGTTTCATTACCCAACTAGGGTACATCAGTGCTAGAAAGGAGTGGCATCTGTGGAGAGGAGGAGGACTTGGTGCTCTCTGACCTTGATAATTTTCTTGCAGACATTTCATAACCCAACTAAATAACATCATCAGTGCTGGAAGGGAATAGGGTTTACTCTTTCTTTATACACAATGCCTTGTTGTGGTCAATATTTGTGGGAGTGTTCCTGGTGGTTCCTTGATTTAGACTGTTGTTTACTGTTTGATTTTTGGTATGATATTAATCAGTATTGATCACTGCTTATCTGGATGTTGATTGCTGGCAGGGAGGTGTTTTGATCTTGTTTCCTTCTTAGCATTTGGATTGTCAGTTTTGAATGGTGGATAAAGGTCATTTATCACAGTAGGCCTGTCAATGACCGGTTTTAATATGCCAAATGACCAGAAATTCTCTAATGTTTTTGGATGTAGCTTAGTCTAAAAGGCTCAAGTTTCCCTGTGGAAACTATGCTGGAATCTCTCCATGTGTCATGCAATTGCTATTATTATACTTACAGGCCATATGAATAAATTCACCACTCTTCTCCCTTCTTCTGTCTTCCCAGTGGCCTTTTCTCCACTAGAACCAAATACCCATAGCTAACTTGCATTTAATTCTGTATCTTGTCTGATATTTACTCTCTGGGAGGTAGTCCCAGATCTAAGGCTGCCTTTCCTAGCTCGACACAAAATGGTGGGCCATCGGTGGTCAAAATGGGTGGCCACAGAGCAGTTGGCTGAACAGGGAAGACAGAGATTAAAATTCATGGAAGTTCCCTGGAGAAATCATGCTCTTACCCCACAGGACTGCAAGGAAAAAAAAAACCATAGCAAAAGGGGCCTTGAATGCTACAATGAACTAGCAGCATATAAATAAATAAATCCAGCAGGGCTTCACATGGATACGGTATTCCTTTTCCAGCATTTTAATATTCTCCCTTTTGTGAAGGTTTGATTTTCGACGGCCTGACAAAAAGTTCACAGAGAACCAAAAAAAAAAGTCATTTCCTCGCATACACAAGCTCATCTTAATTTTTTAATCAAGGGAAAGCGAGGAGCACGGAAAGCAGAGACGTTACACAAATTAAAAAGAAAAAAAAAACTATTTTCTTTCGGCCAACCATCCCCAAGTTTCAGCTTTTCGGGAAGTTTTTTCCCCAAAGAGTTACAACAGCGTTTATAAAACAGCATACAAATCGAGCATAATGAAAAACAACATAGTCCCAATCACACTTCGGGTCCTCCTCGTCTACCTTCTATGTCTCTCCCCATCTGACAACCAAGTTCCCACACACAGTCTTGGAGGTGATGCAAGCAGCTGGGACACAACAGCGTCTTCTTAGGAGGCCTTTTGTGCCTTGAAATAAGAGGGGGGGGGAAGCTGCAGGGGGTTCAGAAAAGAAAGCAGTGATCCAATCAAAATCCTGTCTCGTCCTGTTTA